TACTATTTTCCATCATACCTTGTGAGTGTTTAGCAGTGACAATCATGTGCGTCAAATACCTTCTTACTTCCTCTTTAGAGCGATATGCATTAAAGTTGGAAGATCTAGAAAGTTCATTTCATAGATGGGAATCTCGAGGCTGAAGAGAATTCTCCTCTATATCCACATAGTTTTACCACAATGCTTTCATTCTTATAGATAGTGACATACTCAAAACCACCTATCTCCGAAGTTACAGACAAAAATCTAAACTGGCTGAGTTTCTAAGCATATAAATTCAAATCTCAAATTCCCATTAAATGAGCATTCATTCAAAATGGATATAAAATGATTGAGAAATTACATAAAGGGACATGGCCCAGTGCATGGAAAGTTGAGGAAGTAAGTAGCCAACTGAATTTTGGGATGTAAGCTGTGGCCTCCTTGGCTAATGCCCTTTCTGTGTTAATCAAAATTCCCATATACCTTGTTTTGCTGTTCAGTTTTAGCAGTGTGGCCTTCACAAAGAAGCCATGGTCAGAAAGTTGTTTAAATATAGAATACAGGAAAGGCAATGGAAAGAAAAGATGGTTTCAATAATATGATTCAGAAAGGATGACAGATTTTATGACTTCTGAGCATTGGGAGAGATTTTTTTCTCATTGTTCTCAGCCTTCACTACTCTCCTCAAATTAAAAAGCCAAGAGCATCTTGGATAGAGACTTACAACCATGTAACTCAGAAAGCAGGTGGCAGACATGCCCCCCAGACCACAAGTGTCTCCATAGAAATGTTTTGCGGAGTGCACATCTAAATTTCTAGCATGTGCACAGGGCTATACAGAGTGTAATAGAACTGTGGATGGCTACAATGGTAAAAATATAGTTGTTGAAGACTCTGTTCTTAAAGTCTTTGAGAAATTGCAGAAAGCAATACTGAGATATTCTGATGCAGGAAAATGACATTACAGCTCAGCTCAGATTGCTTAGGAGAGGACAGCTGGACAGGTGTATCTTACCTGTCAATTGTGGATATGATTTTGGTGCTAAGAAGGAACATATCCTATAAACAGCCCCTCATTATTATAAGATCTTGCCAAGATATGTTTTTTTCCTGGTGGTGACATATGTCAGACCAGCTCTAGAAAAAGTATTAAGTAGTTGATATTTTTAATTGAAGACCCAACCATCTAATAAGAAACTTCTTTTCCTTCTACCTTAAGTTCTCTTCCCAAACCTATTCCCAACAATGGGATTTTACCCTTATGACAACTTAAAGTGTAAAAACTAGGCAACAGATACAATTCTTAGCCTTCTTAGAATGTTTACATTTTATCAGAAATCAAAATCTTGAACCAAGGGAATGAAATGCCAGACATGTAATTTTTGTAAATTAATGAGCTAATGAGGGATTTTTTAAAAAAGGATTTTCTTGTCCTTCAAAAATTATGTCACATTAAAAAATAAAGCAAAAATCAAATAAAACAATCCATGAATATTTCATGGATAAAATTTATATTCATTTTTTCTTTTCACTTCAAACATGTCAACAATATTTTAACTTCCAGAAATGTTGCAAAAAGTATACATAAGCTTCAGAAGTCTTAGTTTTTATTTTATAAACTTGCATGTTTTGAGTTTAATTGAAATCTGTTGTATTTATACTTCCTTCAGATCCTGCCCCTGGAAGTGAACGCAAATTTGCTCTTACATGTGTGTTATTTGAATTTGAATTATCTTTGTAATTCTAGTCTCAGAACTAGAGAATCATTGTGTATACTTAAATCTAGGTCTAATGCTGTCACTGACTTGATGCCTATGTTCTTGGAAGTCCTTAAACTCATTGTACCTAAGCTACATCTTTTATAAAATGAGTATAGTATATTTTGTGAGGATATCCCAAAAAGGGGAGAACCCTGACAGAGAAGAAACAGAGTGTGTTTAGTCCAGGGCTGGGTGAAGGGAAGGCATTGCTGGGTGTGAGCCATGATGAAGCAGAGAGTGACTATGAACTCTGACAGACATAAGTTTCAAGTATGGTTCTCCCAATTACTAGCTGTGAGACCTTGGGCAGGAAGTTTATCGTCTCTAAAGATTAGAATTTGGCATATATATTATATAGATAGGTGAATTAACACAATGCATAAATTGAGAATCGTTATCACATATAAGCACAACACCAAGTTCAGTATCTAAGGTGAAACAGAAATGAAATAGGAAAGAAAGGTGGAACTTCTAAGTTCAGGTTGTTGGACTTTGAATTTGGGGTAATTTTGTTGCTTTCGTAATATGACTGTAGTCAAGATCTAGTGATTGAAATAGAACCCAAATGCACTATGAGTAATGCAGCAATGACAGCACTGACCATGTAGGATTACATAACTCATGTGACATGATGGCTAATGTCGGGCACATCCACAGGCTTCCCCCAGTTCCCTAGGTGCCATTGTTTCCCAGACCTTCAGCAGCAGGCTCAGCCTCAGCCACTATGGCCAGTGACTCTGTTTGGGTCCATACTGTTTAGCTGACTGGGGCTGACCACGGCTGACCACTTGCTCACTTGGACAAGTTGGGCCCTCCTTGGTTGTCACTGAGTAGCCAGATGGAATAGCCACATGCCCCATGTTTCTGACTTCTTTTGCCACTTCTGGACTTGAATCCATAACAGAGGGTGTGGGTTTTGGACTGACGTCATCCAGAAATGTGGGGCAGTTAACTTCTTAAGGCACACATTTTGACCAGTGGGCAACAAGACATGGGGAGAATGTGGAAATAAATTTCTCTCCTCCATCCCTTCCTCCCAAAGACTGTTCCTTGGCCAAGTTTTTCCATATTTCTTGTTTGGAGAAATTCCATAGCAAACCAGACTATGTTGCTCCATGGCTCATCATGACCTATGACTAGCATGAAAATGCAATACTTTGCATCTTTTCCTGTCCTTTTATGTCACTTCTAATATTTCCCTCTCTTTTCCAACCCTAGAATTGCACCTCTTAAAAGCATCAACACTTAGTTCTTGCTTCAGACTCTTTTGTCTGGGGAAGCCAGACAAAGATATTGCTTAGCACATAAAAGTTGCTCATTAATATTAATTTTCCTTTTGTCCCTCTTTGTTAATTTCTAAAATCTGACTTTACCCAGTTCTAGGATAAACTTGAACTTAACTGCCATCATTGCCTCCATCTCTTGTCTTTTCTTCCTGAACTCCTATTCCATCTCGGGTACTGATTTTCATGTTTGTTTCTCATGTGATCATGAAAAGCATTTGATCCCTCTATCTGATGTGTTGTTTCTAGAAATCTTGACTTAGTCTAAATCTAAGTCTTTATTCTAGAGAAGAGGAGAATTAGGAGTCACACAAACTCCAGATCATTTTCGTGTAAGAAAGTGTCGGTCTGGGGGATGGGAGGATTTCTGCACACTGGAATTCCATCTCCTATAGTCACAGACTTATAGCCACCCCTTCTTGGTAGATCCCATGCCTACTTCTCGATAGATGAATGTAGGTTTTGGGTGTCCAATTTCAGACCCCATCTTAGGAGTCACAGATACTTACAATTCCAGATCAGGCAAATGACCAATGTGGTTTTTGATCTGTTAGGTCTGTGAAGATTGGAATAGCACAGGCTTCAAGGAGAAGATGAAGCTTAAGTTTCACTAAAAAGATTGTTTCTGAGTTTTCCCACAACACTTTTGTTCCTTCATCTCAACCAATGAAAACTCTAACCATTACAGAATCATTTCAAATGTCACATTCTTCATGAAACCTTCCCTCATCTTCCCGTCTGAAAATGATCTCAACCTCATTTAGATGTCCACATACTTTATTTATGTGTCTCTACATATAGTCTTGTGTTTTTATACTTGAACTACTATGAGCTCTTTGAGGACAAGGGCAAAATCTCATGTATCTTTGTATCAGTCTTTAGCACACTGTTTGTTAGATTGAATTTTTCCTTTCCTTCTACTTACATGTCTTGAATATTTATCGTGTTCCAAGAACTATGCTAAGCATTATATAATTCAAATCAATTCTCCCTCCTTGTAATCATCAAAGATTAATAAAAATATTTCCTAAATTATAGTCCCTAGAACAGAGCACTATTCACAGGGTGGAGTTTTGCAAAGAATGCTTCAGGTATGGATCACTGATTGGTTTGAACAAATCTATGTAGTTCTTTTAATGTCTGTGCCAGAAATACTTTTCCACCAACTTAGCTTTCTTCTCATCCTCAAGCTCTTCTCTACTGTTGTTATTGGAGGTTTCTCTGATTTCAGGCCCTCCCAACTTTCTTCAGCTTTCTAATTTACTTAGATTTTATCCCCGTAAGTGTTGTAATTCATGTTAATTTAGAATGAATATGAATATTGGATATCAGTTATATTTCCCATTCTCTTTTCTGTGGAAGGAAAATTTATTTTGAGAATAAGTATATATTTTAGAACAATTATCGGTTGAGAGGTAAAAAGTTGCATTTCAAATTTCGGTTTAAAAATCTACTTCTTATTTAGAGCAGTGCTGCCCAGTAAAACTTTCTGCACTGATGTAAGAGTTCTGTATCTGCACTCTCCAACGAAGCAGCCACTAGCCACTGTGGCTAACTGAGCACTTGCCACAGGCTGTGTGACTGAGGAGCCAGGTTTTAATTTCACTTAATTTTAATTAATTTAAGTTTAAATAGCCATATGTGGTTAGTGGCTGCTACCCTGGACATCACAGATACAGAACAAGGACAGAATTATCTCCCATATTCCTGTAAATAAACAAAGTGCCTGTAGATAGATGCTTTTGAGAAAAAGCATTGTATTATCCTGTATGATATTATCCCCTTTTTGGAGAGTCACTATATACATGGACATGTTATAGGCTCTAAGACTCTCACTGCAAAAACAAACAGATCTCTGTTTATATTGATGTTACCCAGAATTTTTCTGACTTCAGTTGACCATGGAACTTCTACCCTCCCCTCAATAATGTCTATGAACAACTTGTGATCTCATTCTCAACCCTTTTGGAAAAAGTCGTCTTCAGATCATTTTTCCTATTCAAAGCCTATGTTACACATTTAGCCACACTTATTTCTTTCTCTATTTTAGTGAAAACATAAGAAAGGCTTAAGGAGGAATAAGGAGGGATCTCTTCTCTGAGATTTAAAAAATCTGTTCTGCTCCCAGGAGATGGGGCTTAATGTTTGTCCCATGGACATGGAACTATTGAATCTCTGAAATTGCCCTTTTCAGAGACATTGTCTGTTTTCTCATTATAGTTGTAGCTGAATCTGGATCAAATTCGGTCCCTGGAACCATGACATGTCCAGAGTTTGACCTAAGCCACAGGTAGGCCTCCCATTTGAGGGCTGATTAGAGACAATCAACTTTCCCCCACGGGAGTAGCTGTTGACATCAGTTTACGCCACTAACAATAATGTGGGAAGGAATATGATAACATTCGGTTGTCTTTTCCCCTTCCTCTTAATAGACCAGGTGGTGATGCTTTGGACAAAATTGGTCTGAAGGCTGAGAGCAGGTCCATTATTGGGAGCATTTGCTTTAAATTATGAAATTCAGGAAGGCTTGTGGTGGAGAGGCGGCCAGTTCTGCCGCAAAAGGCGCTTGCTTGTCTGTTTCTTGCATTCTGTTAAATATTTCTTATTTCCTCAGAATACACCACAAGGACCATTTGACTGTCCCCTCTGGCTTCTGTATCTTGCTTCCAGCATGAACAGACAGGTAATAACCGTTCAGCAGGGCCATTACCTCTTCTAAAGACTATTATCAAAATGGTCATTATACATAATGGAGATTATTACAGGCAGCCTGAGAGATTTTTTAGATACATCTCTACAGTAATAGGTGGCCTTTTTTAGCCTTATATATCTGTGGGGATAATACCAGGGCACAGAATACATGACAAATGGTGATTTTTAGCAAAACTCTGTCAGCTTTTAATGCATTAATTGGATTGTGGATTTAAATGGCATTTATGCAGAAACTCTTAAATTTTAACTCTTGACAAATACACAGTACAGCAGGAACATTTGAAGAATAGGAGTTACAGTATATAGAATGCACTGTCCATGTTTATACTATGCAATCACATATGCAAGGATACTGGCATTAATGAATCTTTTGAGAACAAACTCTTTTATAATGAAGTAACTGGTTCATAGTCTGCCAATCAGTAAGTATTTATAGACCTTGGGCTTCATGCCAGGCACTGAAAATGTGGTGGTCAGAAAACATAGAGGGAATCTTAAAAGCTTAGACTCCAGTGGTCTGTTTTAAAAAAATAGTCGAATTTCAAATTTTTCTATCTCCAAGATATGTAATACCTCCTCTTATACTTTCCATTTGTCCCCAGCCATTTGAAGGTAAATAGGTCCTGTCCGAGGTAAGAATGTGAATTCTGCCATGTGATACATATTTGGTTGCCTGCAAAACAGCCTTTCTCCTTTAAAGTCATAACTCTATTTCTGTTTGCTTGGTAAGGCTATCAGTTCCCTGGAATAAATCTTTACTGGGTTAAGCCAGTCAGGTATAATAGGATGTTATTAATAATATGGGATCCTTTGCATCTCAGCCCTGATTGAAGACCCAAGAATAAAAGCAATAGGTGGCTAATAATCTGTCATTCCAAAAGAGAGTTGTGGATGCTAGATCCCCAATGCTTGATTTGCAAAGGAGGTATCAAAAAAAAAAAATCCAGTTTTCTACACTCTCACCCAACATCCCTCTTTGACTATGAAAAGGCTGAGGTTAAAATGAGGAGAGAGAGAGTACTTTCTGGAAGAGGCTGTTGGTAAGCAGTGGCATTTTGCTTTCTCATTGCAGGTGGGAATTTCTCTTCATTTTACACCAAGCAAGGGGTTTTATAAAGGAGCACAGAGATATTATTATTGGTATGTTGAGGCTGAAAGAACACAAGGAACTGGTATTTGATCTTTGCTTTAGAAATTTAAAGGCTAAGGACTTTGAAAATCTCTCTCTTTTTTTTTACTCTTTAAACTCCTCTTACTATCATTCCCAGTAAAGGCTAAGGACTTTGGCTAGCAGGCTACCCTCATAGCCAGGCAAAGCGAGGCAGATTCATGGCAATGTGTAAATTTTCTGGTGTCTACAATGCATGAATGTTCTGTCTAGACCAGATGGGGGCTATTGAGTAGAAAGAGCTGGTTTATAATTAACATACAGAGACTTTGCCCAATGGGGCAACTGAACCCTGAAAGTCTGTATGGAGTGGATCCCTGAAAACCAGATGATGAGGGGCAGTTGTTATGGCCAGATAGAGGAGACATTGCCGATGCGGATGTCTCAAAGATCCCCAAGGATTAGGAACCTCCTTTGTAGCCCATTCTACTCAGAATTTCTACTTCTTATAGTTGACAGCTTCCTTTCGATACATTTGCTAAAATAACTTCCTGTTACAATTTTATTCCTGGGCCTCCTTCACTAGAGATGTCAGTGCCTATTTCTGATCTCCTATAGGGTCCAGGTCTCTGACTATCCATACCCCTGTCAAAGAGGGAAGAATCTGTGGATGATCATTACTGTGCTCATCATTTTTGTGCTCATCTGCCCATTTCCCACTCTACCCATCTCTCTGAGGTGACAACAGCTAGATTTTCCTTCCAGTAGCCTTTGGATGATGACCTTTAAATCACTTCCGTCACTACAGTTGACTCCACCCATGATTCTAAGGGTAGGAGTATGTCTTAGAACTGGCCCATCTGTGTATTCAGTTATGCTTTGCACAGCGATTAGTCCAGAGATATGAGCCAAGCTGATGTGAGGGAATTATGCTGGGACTAGTTGGAAGAGGCATCGCCTTTTTGCTAGAGCTGCAGAGCAGGTAGGTGATAAAGGAGAGGTTCCGGGTGTTTTCCATGGTCCTTTTAGGCTTACCTTAGGAGAAATCTCAGCCAAGAGATGGACCCAAAAGATTTGTGGTGACACTATTTAAGCATCTATATCCAAAAATAGATATTAAATTATGTTTATTCTATTTATGAGAAACAATAAATTGCTTCTGCCCACCACCCCCCACCCCATAAGTCATTTTGTAATGAGCTTTGGCACTTACAACAACAGATAAAGGCCTGACCAATAAGTACTTACACTACCGTGTTTCCCCCAAAATAAGACTTATCCATAAAATAAGCCCTAGCAGGGTTTCTAAGCATTTGCACAATATAAACCCTACCCCGAAAATAAGACCTAGTGATGGGCGTGGCTACGCAGCGTATCTGCACAAACCATGCATTTCGTCGTGGAGCGGTAAAGAAGACAAGCAGCCCTTCTCATCTGACCCATCGTGACAGCTACTATCCCAGAGGTGACCGGAAAGGTGCAAGCAGCCCCACCAACAAGGTCGGCTCCCCCTATCCGGTCCCAGCCATCCTGTGCGTGCTATAAACTGAGGCTTTGAAGGGAAAATAACACATCCCCTGAAAATAAGCCCTAGGGTGTCTTCTTGAGGAAAAATAAATATAAGACCCCTATTTTCGGGGAAAATTGGTATTGGTTAAATTGCTTTGACCAGGGATTTAAAAAAATATTTCTCTCTCCCACTTTTAAATTAGAGAAAGTTTTAAACATACAGAAAAAATTAAGGATAGCAAAATAGGTTCCCATACATTCTCCACTCAACTTTCAACAGTTAACTCTCTCTCTCTCTCATCTTTGCTGAACCACTTGAAGGTACATTTTAGACATCATGACCTATTACTCTAAACATTTTAGCATGTATATATATATATATATATATACATTCTAAAAATAAAGAATTCTCCTACATAAACACAATTTCATTATCACCCTTAAGAAAACTAATAATAATTCAATACATTCTAATATTCATTCTATATTTAAACTTTTTTCCAAATGTGCCTTGTATAGATTGTTTTTACAGAATAAAGAACTAATGAAGATTTACACGCTGACGTGATGCATATGAGTGGGAATATGTGGTATTTACCTTTCTGTTTCTGGCTTATTTCACTTAATGTGATGACATTGACTTTTTTTTAAAGAGTCCAGACCAGTAGTAATAATAATAATAATAATAATAAAAAAGTCCTTTATTTTGAATGTGTCTGGTTGTGTCTACATAGTCTCCTTTACCTTGTTGCTCTAACTTGTGAAGTGCTAGTAAATTGGAAGGTAGATCTAGGGGCTTGATGGCTAATGATTTTGCAAGAATGTTTTATAGGTGATGCAATCTTATTTGTAGTCTCTTATATATAGATACAATTTCTTCTGTATCCTTAATGTGTGTGGTGGTGAGGTGGATCCTAAAACTCCTCCATATTTATTTTGTGGCATTCCTGTGTAAAGAAGAGTTATTTCTCCACTTTCTTCTTTCCCGTTGAAAAATTCACTTAGTTTTGTTTTTCTTAGAATGTCTTTATTTTTACCTTCACTTTTGAAGGACATTGCCACAAGTGTTTTTTTTTTTTTTTAATTTCAGAATATTACAGGGATACAAATGTTTTAATTATGTAAATCGCTTTTGTACCTTTAGAGTCAGTTATAAATGTGCCCATCTCCCAGACTATACACTGTATGCGTTAGGTATGAATTTACCCATCTCGTCCTCCCCCTCCCTCTGGCTTGATGATATCTCATGAATGTTATTTCCATATGTGCACATAAGTGTTGATCGATTAGTTCCATATGGGATAATACAAGATGTATTAGCTCACCATTTTTTATGGCTGAGTAGTACTCCATTGCATACATATACCACATTTTATTAATCCACTGATGGATTGATGGGCACTTAGGTTGTTTCCACATTTTTGCAATTGTGAATTGTGCTGCTGTAAACGTTTGAGTGCAAGTGTCTTTTTTATAGAATGTCTTTTGTTCCTTTGGGTAAATACCCAGTAGTGGGGATTGCCAGATCAAATGGTAGTTCTACTTTTAGTTCTTTGAGGTATCTCCATATTATTTTCCATAGAGGTTGTACTAGTTTGCAGTTCCACCAGCAGTGTATAAGTGTTCCTATCCCTCTGTATCCATGACAACATTTGTTATTTGGGGATAAAAGCTGTTCTCACTGGAATTAAGTGATATCTCATTGTGATTTTGATTTGCATTTCCCTGATGATTAGAGATGTTGAGCATTTTTTCCATATGTTTATTGGCCATTAGTTTGTCTTCTTTTGAAAAGTTTCTGTTCATGTCTTTTGCCCACTTTTTAATAGGGTTATTTGATTTTTCTTGCTGATTTGCTTGAGTTCTTTATAGATTCTAGTTATCAGAACTTTATCAGATGTACAGCATACAAATATTTTCTTCCATTCTGTAGGTTGTCTATTTGCTCTAATGATTGTTTCTTTGGCTGTGCAGAAGCTTTTTAGTTTGATCAGGTCCCATTTATTTGTTTTTGTTGTTGCTTTGATTGCTTTTGGGGTCTTTTCCATAAATTCCTTGTTTAGGCTGTCTATAAGAGTTTTAGGATGTCTATAGAGTTTTTCCAACATTTTCTTCTAGAATTCTTATGGTTTCATTCCTTAGGTTTAAGTCTGTTATCCATTGTGAGTTGATTTTTTGAGTGGTGAGAGGTATGGATCCTGTTTTGGTTTACATGTGGCTATCCAATTTTCCTAGCACCATTTATTGAATATGGATTCTTTTTTCCAGTGTATGTTTTTGTCTGTGTTGTCAAAGATCAGATAGCAATATGAGGATGGTTTTATATCTGGATTCTCTGTTCTGATCCATTGGTCTATGTCTCTGTTCTTGTGCCAGTACCATGCTATTTTGGTGACCATAGCCTTGTAGTAGTATACATTGAAGTCTGGTAAATTGATGCCTGCAAATTTGCTCATTTTTCTTAAAGTTGCTTTGACTATATGAGATCCTCTCTGGTTCCATACAAAGTGTAGAATCATTTTTTCTAGATCTGTGAAAAATGATGCTCATATTTTAATAGGGATTGCACGGAATCTGTAGAACAACACTTTGGGTAGTATAGACATTTTAACAATGTTGATTCTACTGATCCATAAGCATGTCACAAGGTTTTGAATTATAGGTTGGCAGCTCTTTTTGTTCAGAAATTTGAAGATGTTTCTCATTACCTTCTGGCTTACACTGTTTCTGTAAAGGAGTCAGGTGTCTTATTGTTACTTCTTTGAGTGTAAAGTTTTTTATCTCTGCTTTTAAGATTCTTTTTTTGTTCTTCATTTTTTAAAAATTGTTTTACTATTTATTTCATGTGCATACAGGGTTTTCCTTGTATGATAAGGCATGATGAAAATGGTGGATACCCCACCATGAGATTGATGAAACCCCACAATATCACTTTATGTTTAACTCGTCTAGTTCTACCATTTAACTCATTTTTCTACCAATTTTTATATTATTGGCACTCTTTAACTTAATACATTGACTTCCAGGTGAGTTGTATTTAACTTAGGTTAGTTTTGAGCCCAGGGCATGTGAAGCAAAACCCTATAGTTGGTTAGTAAAAGTTTTACTTGTGATGTTCTTATTGTTACAATTAATATTGACAATTAATTCTAAAAACATGGATTGTGTTGCAGATAACTGCACAGAAAACATAAAAAATAACACATTAGAAAGGATAGTTTTGTTTTAATAAAACACTGTGGCCCCAGGAAAAATGTTCCTTTTCTTGTGTGGCAGTCAATGTGTTAAAAATATTAAAAGCTCATCAAAAATATCTTAAATAAAAAGTGAAAGTAATTATAAAGAACATCTTTTGGAATATAGTTGCATCTGGTTTTTAGGAACAAACTGGAACCAGAAGCCGAAATGCTAGATTAAACTTACTTTTATCTTCCTTCTTCTTCATGAATTTGCTTTCCCTTCTCCTTTTCTTTCTTCTTTTTTATTTTTAAATTACAGACTTGTAATTGTCCAATATACATAGCTGTCCAATATACATACCATAGAAAAATAGCTGCTAAGGCTCCTAAGTTTATATTTTCTCCATTCAGGAAACAAACCAAATCATGTCTATAACATTGTATGCCTAATTCCAATTTCCTGGAAATAAATTCATTGCCCTAGTGGAATGAAAGGTCCAACCCATGTCCAAACAAATTGGACCAGGAAGGCAAGGTCACATCTTAAGGACAAGGCTTCTGAAGCTCTAGTGCTGTAATCATATGTGTTGAGGGGGAGAATTTGGGCACACAAACCAGGAAATGTTGACTAAATCTTATATCTTCTTTGTAAGTTAGTCTCTACATTGCTTTGCTTTGTAGAGAATGTGATTTCCAGAACATAAAAAAGTTCTTATATATAGGCTAGCTAGAAGTTATCTTAAAACCTACTGAAATGTAGAAATTTAGATAATTCTAACTATAGTGTAGGATCCTGAAATTCATGAAAATATTCCTGTGGAAAGCCAACCATAAGCTGAATTTCCTCATACCAAACTATTGCCCTAGGCTATCTCTTTATCTTTCAACATTTAACAAAAAGACTATGCCCTGCTGTCCTTCAACCTCAAGATCCCTGAATATATATTTGATGGGTACTGTCATATTTGACAGTATTTTATGTACTGTTAAATAATCCTTTTATATCATTTTTCTTTTATCTGCTATTGCAGAAGGCAGCCCTTTGTTCTTTTGTTGCTTTGCTTTTGGTTATCTAGCGACTGACAAAGCATATCACAGGAATGAATCCTCTTCATTAAGAAAGGAATGATTCTACATAGATGTGATATTTCAAAGAAATTTATTTAGCATTGTTTATATAAAAAATGAAGTATGTGCTTAAAATCTGACAACTGTTTAGATGTTCTTGGAGATGAACATTATAATTTACTTCAAGATATGGAAATACTGAAATACACCTAATTACACTTTATTTTTATATACTTCACATATTTTCTCTTTTTTGTTTCTGTTTTCTTTTTCTGTATACCCTTTATACACATATAATACACATATAATATACATGTATTTTTTTTTTAGAAAGTCTGACATCTAAAAAACTGCCCTATCACTAAGATTTAAGAGAATGTGCAAGTTTGTCCCCAGATAATTTAAGAAGCCAGCAATAGCAACAACATTAACAATAGCATCAAATAATTCTTTCAAAAGATTTTCTATTTTTTATTCCTAACACTGGGAAAGTCCTCATGGAGTCATAGTTAGTTTTCATTAGGAGAAATGCGTACATTTTTGAGACCAGGCTTTTGACAAACTTGTGAATTCATCACATTTCAAGAACAATGGCATACAAAGATGTGATTGTTATAATTGGAAAGAGGGTCGTCATAGTTCAGCTTTGTCCAAGGATAGTGGATACAGTTAACAACATCTGTGAGAAGCTATGTTACTGAACAGCCTGGTGATAATAACCTAGTCCCTAAAGTGAATGTTCTGGCTTATGATTTTCAGTTATGGTAATATGTGCTGGCATGTTCTAATGAACTTGGTGAAGCATGTTCACATGACCCAATCTTGCTGGCTTCCCAACAGCTGCTCAAGTTGCTGAGGAGTTGGCCTGCTATTCTTTTTCCCCCCAAGCTCCGTGAATACCCTCCATCAAGACAACATCCACCAAGCATTATGAGTGCTGCATTGCTCATCTGAGCAGGTAAGCAAACAAGATGGCTGCACTCAGCCCCTCCTGTATGTGCTGCCCCTCTGACAGCCTTCAAGGCTATTGCAACATGGGACTCGTATGAAGGGTAGAGCTACTCATGCTGTGAAAACCCCAGACTGCATTTTTCAATTTAAGAAGTTTTTAAAGTTAGTCTTTTGTTATTTGTTAAGCACTTTGTAATATGGATCAAGGCCCGTCCAAGAGAAGCCCCCCCCACCAAACAAAAGAACTTCACAATTGTTATACTAGATTCCTTGGGCTGCCATAATAAATTATCACTAACTTGGTGAATTAAAACAACAACTATGTGTTCTTTCACCATTCTGGGGCACAGAAGTTCAAAATCAAGGTGGCAGCAGGGTTAGTTACTTTTAGCGGCTCTGAGAGAGAATCGATTCCATGTCTTTCTCATAGATTCTGGCAGTTGCTGACAATCCTTGGCATTCCTTAGATTGTAGCTGTGTCATTCCAATCTCTGCCTCCATCATCACATGACCTTCTTTTACGTACATCTCTATTCTCTTTTAAGAACATGAGTGATTGGACTTAGCGTTCACCATAATCTAGCATGACCTCATCTTAAATTGCATTTGCAAAGACCCTATTTTCAAATAAGGTCACATTCACAGGACTTGAGCATATGTTTTTGGGGAACACATTTCAACTCATTGTAATTGGTTTTTGCTCTACAAGCCTGTTTGTCTCACATGCCTTCTTTTTTCCCCTGTTTCATCACTAACATCCAAATTCCACTTTCTCAGATTTCTTCAGTAGACTTGATTATTGAATAAAACTTTTTTAAAAAATTATAAACAACCAACAAGAACTAGCTTTGTTAATAAAGTCAATAAAAACCCAATAATTAGTTTCAAGACTTCTACAAGGTAGTTGGATGAAGATATTAGAAAAAAAGTATCTAAGACAATTTAATGGATAACATTTGATATTTCCATTGGAGGGTGTTTTTAAGCCACTTATTAAGTGGCTTAAAATATTGAAATTTAATTCAAGAAAGAAATCTCCACTAAGGGCAAACAAGAGTTTTAAGATCTGGGGGTAATTAAATAGAAAAGATATATATCTTGACTTCAATCTATTGCCAGTACAGCATTACGGGCAACTAATTATTTTCTAATTATTTTAAAATAGAAATATAATATCACAAACAAGATTAATGGAACTATTTTCCAAACCAGTCCCTCTAAAAAAAATTAGCTTGGTGGACACTCTATTTATATAGTTAAGTGTCTGAGACATCTATGCTCTAAGCTTAGTTTGGAAATATTCAATGTGGATTCAGATTTTTTGTGACCTCTTTTCCTTTTGCAGCTGTCTCAATTTTTTGTGCATCTTTTAGCATGACCTTCTCCTTATTACCTTGGTAATTCCTTTCCTTTTAGATGGGCACCACATTCTCAGCCCAGTAAGTCTTGATTTTCCTTAGAAAAATGTCAGTTCAATGAAAGAGTGAGATCCCTTCTGCTCCTTTACATATGTACTTGACTTTTATTTACTTTGCTCAGCACAATGATATACTCTTCCCACTAGCAAAGTGGCTGCTGTCCTTTAACTTGAAAAATCTGGAGCTTTTACTGTGTATGTAAAATGTATGTGTGCATGTGGGAGGGGGGAAGACATTGAAATACTTTACCTTAAAATTCACATTATTGACCACACAGTATTTCATTCATGACTATGTCATAGTTTAAGTGATAATTAAACTTGTTGGACCTATATACCGTTTCCAATCTTTCTCATTTTACTGCTTTCTTTTACTTTCATGCATTGTATTAGTAAGATTTCTTGTTTGCAAACAAATAGAAAACCACGATAGATAATTTAAGAAGAAAAGTTATCAAATGTACAGAAGACCAAAGAATTGGTCCCAATGCTTTATGGCCCTGTAGTAGTAATATATGTTCATACCCTTGCCATTGCTTCTGTTCTCTCTCTATGCAAAACCGACTAATTGGGTCACTCTGTAAACGTAGCACAACATAGTATCCATTATTGTATACTTAGTTAGTTCAAACTGTAAGAAATTTATCTTAGTTTTATTTAAAAAGATTCTTGAAGGACTAAGAGGATGAGTAGATGTCCTGAAACTACATATTAGTATGTATTAGTTAACTCTGTTTATGCCACTTCAGTGTCTTACTGTTTTTATTAGAATAAAATTCATGACCCCTACCAGAGATGACGTGTAGTATGGTGGTTGCAGGCAGGCAGTGTCTGTGTTTGAATCTCAGCCCTGCCACTTACAAGCTAATGTGACCTGGGGCGAGCTACTTTATCTTTCTGGCCTCAGCGTGCTCACTTATAGAATTAGATTAATAATAGCACCTTATAAAGGTGGTGATAATGAGCAGAATTTACATGTGTAAAGCAATTGCAGCAATGCCTCGCTCCAATTTTTTGAGTGTTTGTTTAATAACTAAGTCATATTTATTTCTGTGACTTATAAGACCCAACATGGTCTGGCCTCTATTTATCTACCATTGTCAAATCAACCCAAACTCCTTTCATTCATCCCAGGTGTTTTCTCATTCCCAGGCAGTTGTCCTTGCTCCTCCTTCTCTCTGAAATTCTCTCTCTCCTGCTTTTCATAAGATTGTTATGGCGGCTGTGAGAATGAGCCTCGTGGATTTTCTCCTGTAGGGGGTGGGGCTGGCTGAGGGCCCCAGGTGCTGAGTTCTAATCCCCATAACAGATTTTACACCAAGGCTGTGCCTTTCTGTGCTGCTCCCCTCCAACAATCAAGTGGTGGGGTCACTAGGGCAGCCCCATTCCTCAGAGACACAGGACTGCTTTGTCTGTTGACTCCAGCCCTAGGAATCCATGATGGATTTGCTGAACCTTTCTTAGATTGCATAGAAGTCTAGGACTCTGCTCATCAACTTCTCTCCCTTTCTACCTTTTATCCAGGCAAGCTTAGACTTGCATTGTGGTCTGATGACAATCTAAGCCTTCTGCTCCTTGTACTTTTAATCCTATCTTACAGTCTACTTCTCAGAGGACCAGGACTAACCCAGCTGGTGTTACCTTCTTTACTGTCTGGTCAAATGCCCACTCCTACATGGTCTGCTTTGACTAATTGTATGAATGTAGCCACCTTTCCTGGTTATTGTTTAGCACATCACCCTGCTGTTTTATTTCCTTTATAGCAATTATCACAATGCTTAGGTGCTCATTTGTTTATTTGGTCATTTATTTACCACCAGTGTCCTTGGCTAGAATGCAGTTTGCCCTCAGGCAAAGACATGATCAACTCCAGCACTTAGCTGCATTGTGGCAACATCATGTGTGCTTGATAAATATTGTTGAATTAATGAGCAGATTCTGATAGCTTTGCTAAGAAGGGGCTGGAAGTTTTGAGGAAGTAAGAAACTATTGGTAATATGGGAATCTGGCATATTTTGGAGGAAGGCAAGACTAAACTATCACAGACATTATCGAACAGCTGAAGGCAATATATGAGTACCAGTCTCTTGAGATAACAATGTAAAAGGGATAATATGTTGACTGTTTGTCTCTGACTCTCTGGGACATTCCATTTCTGTCCTATCAACTGTCCAAGTGCCCTTATCCTTGTCAAGATATTTGTTCCAAAAAGTGATGGCCAAAGTGGCGAAAAGGGGAATCAATACAGTTAAAGGCAAACTTCATTTTGATTAAACTCAGTGCTTCAGTCTGGCCTAGCCCTGCCCACTCCCTCACGATATGGGGGAAAAGACTGGGGACTTTCTTTGCTCCATTGATAGGGGAGGATCCAGAATTCAGCATGGGGAGTAAGCCACGCTACGTCCTATTCACGAACTGTTTTAGTGGCAGTAGTGTGCTTCACATTTAAAGATTCTCTAGCCTAATTTTAACCAGAGGACTAAATCTATCTTTTTTAGTTTCATACTTGCCTTAAATGGTGACGCTCAATACAACAAAAGAATTCAACATTTTGGGCTCAGAAAATGCAGGATTTAAGATTGAGGGTGGTGGCTAATTAGTCCTGGAATTTAAATCTCATATCTGGCTGCATTGGAAGTTATGGGATAACTTCCTGAAAAATGGAAAAGCTACCCTTGAGTGCCCAAAACTTGTGCCAGTTTTGAGGGAAGTTGACCTAAACTTCATCACAAGTTTTTTTCATGGTCTGATTTGAGGCTAAGAATCGCCTCAATTTGTGGCTCTCAGGACAAATGAACTTGTATCTCATGAATAACCAGTAATGGATCCCATTTTTGTCTTAGGTTCTGCTGGTCTGATATTATTCTCTTCAGGCAGGTTCTCAAAGGCAGTAAGCCTATTAGCTACCCATTCTTTTGGTCAAAAATTACAACTTTAATGTGTGCGCGCGTGTGCATGCAGACGTGGGTACAAATGCACACAAAAATTACTACATTTGCTCTTATTTGACATTTCTATTTAAGCCCAAGCCTATAAAGTTTAATGACAATATGAAAAAGACCCATATATACAAACCTAGATCCAGCTGTGCAAATCGGAGAAAAACTGGAAGCAGAGGGAGAAATGTGCTATTAGCCGAGTAATGGAATGGCAGAGAAAGTGTCCCCTTTGCAAGTGGTCCAGATCAGAGTGGTAAAAGTTTTCAGAGAAAGCATCATTTGCCTGCCTTGACTGTAAGAGCACAGAAAAAAAAAAAAAAAGGAAACCTGCCAGGTATATGGGAAGTAAAAGTTCCCTTTTCTTTTAAAACACAATAGCTCGTGTAATTTTGTCACATGCATCTGTTGCTCTCACCTCTTACTTTGCGCTGATGTGCTCACCAGAGCATTCACAGGAGCAATCCTCCCTCCCACCCCTGACACCTGCCATGGAAAATGTTGCATTATTCATCGGGGCGCTAATGGCAGGTGATGAGATCTTTTCACGCTACATCCCTCTCAGTAGGTGTTTATCACTCTGTTCACCAGCAGCCCTGCTATTACTGAGGGGGCCAGAAGAACCCTACACACTCGCTTGAAAGGTAATGGGAA